TTTAGATTGTCTTTCAGGACGAACACCAAACTAAGTTTCTGGGTTTGAATGCGACAGTTCATGTGAGAAGAAGAATGTTATTCCGTCTTACGCTTCGGCTGATATTATTGGTAGCTCCCGTGATGTAGCCCCCACTTTCGATGTCACACTGAATATCCAGTTTATTAGTTGTAATTACTCACTCTCCGGTCTGAATCTGGGTTAACACAAAACATGACCATTTTGATTTTGATGTAGTTCAACTGTGGTTCCATTTTCTTAGAGTCATTTACATTTTGAGGCTCCGCTAACCTAACCTACCAAAACGTAATCATTTTCTGTTTCGTAGTTTCGATGTAGTAGAAAAATAACTTAAGCTTAAACGTTTGGCCTACTACAGCTACAACATTCATACTTTGAGATCTGATACCCCGTGCTACCAAGAATTCTTTACGCAAAACCAGAGGAAACTTTTTATTTCAGTGGTTTAAAATTAGATTGTCCTTAGACATTGTCTTTGAAAACTTCCAATTTCTGTTTTATGGTATTCTAAACAACAAAACGATATCAATATTTTTGCAACCATGGTGACATGAATAACCAAAAATTAGTTTGCACTTTGTTGTAGCCCTATAAATATTTCTATTCTTCACAATGACAACAGTTAAAGTTATCAGAGTATATTAATAACTGCGTTATAGAGAACATCATTTTCAGAATAAGATGGTCGGAAATTGCTCGCATGTACGTAAGTTAATTCGCTAACGAGATATGCAGTTCTTCAATTTGTCGCTGGCAACAGGTTTAAGCATCCTGCACAGGTCCAAACATCGATTTATTTCATGTAAAATAAGCAATATACAGGGTGTCCCACTTAACGTGAAACCGCCGCGACAGCAGGCAGCGAACGAATGACCGGGAAGTAAGTTTGTCACAAAGCAGAGCATAGCCGTCGCATGCTAGTAGGTGCGTTCCGAGTTACGTGGGACACACTGTATTAGACAAATATGAACAAACAAATTCATCGGACACGTTTTAATTTCGGCCTATACAGCCGAATACCACATTTTTACGAAAAACGTTTCGTTGATTCGAACATGAAAAGTGTGAATGGATGGCTAAGATCTCGTCATTGTACGTTCATCTTATGTCATGCAATGAACGGGTCGAAACCAAGTTGTTTACACAAATTAAAGTCTGACCCGTTTCCAGTCCAGGAATCCTATCAAATTCCTAATAAGTCAGTGTCGTGTCCCGTGGAACAGAACAAGCCAGTTCCCTTCTCTAACTACAATCCTGGGTCTCGTAGACCTCAACACTTGTCTGCGAGGATGACTTGTGGTTAATAAGAAAGTAATACACAAAAAATGACTAACTGCTATTCTGGTTTGAGGGGTGAAGCTAACGCCATTTTGTTGTGACGTGAAAACGCTTATTCCAGCAAATGGCGTATACAATTCGAACTCCATGATTGGAGAATAAGTAGTGCGAAACCATTTTCTATCGATTACTGTACAGAAAAGGAAGTTAATACGGAGAGAAATCGTGAGTTAATTTCATTTCATGGTCGAAATGGCGGTGGAGAAATAGGTTGCCTTGTAGCTTCGAAGCTTTCCGTTTCCACACCAACTACTAGACAACTTTTACTTTAAATCTGGTAACAGCAAAACCTTTTATTTTAACGCTTCGATTTTGTTTGGAACGGAGTGATTCAAGAAACCAGAACGCCATCTCAGAAAACTTTCTCTCTGATTATAACGAAACAAAACCTGGTCATTATTAAGTGACCCTTTTTCAAGTAACAAGTTGCCATCAATAATATTTGTGTTCCGCTAACCACACTTCAGTTCAAGGTTATGTAGAACGCTTCATAAAGGAAGGAATTTCACCACCACACACGTTGATTTAATATCGGTTCTAAGACACTGAAAATAATCTGTAGCTTTCTCTCCTCAAAACACGAGCATTCCTTCACAGAGACGGTTCTGTCTTATTCAACTACAGGGCTTTAAGTTATCATAACAGAAGAATGTGGACCAACACTCACTCCGATCGAATATCGAATCTGTAGTCTCTAAGGGCTACCGCACACGTAAGACAAACAGTCAGACGACTGTTTCGTCGTTCGCAAGTTACACTGTTACGACACGACAGCGACACGACTGGCAGTCGGTTACCTCTACCGACAACCCCGGACTTTTCTGTCTACCAACTGTCGTTGGCCCTTCGAATTATTTGAACGCGCGCAGACGAACGACGTTTCAGTCGTTCTGCCTTTCATTTCGTGTGAGCATTTGCAGACAGTAGACGATTGTCAAACATGGATTTTGTTGAAACTGCTATAGTA